CAATCAGACCAAGAGCTCCCAATGGAATTGCTGATAGCTGCCCTGGATCTCGTCATTCATTTTGTGGGAACGGTTTGGTTTTTTTTTAGCTCTTCGATCTTGCTTGATGATTTCACTGTCAATCCACATATCAAATGGTTTTGCTATCATAAATCTTTCCAGCTGCAAAGTCGAGAATTTTTTGTTGGACAAGAATTTGCCACCAGATCAGTTGCGTGCCCGACAAGTTGTTTTGAAGATCCTTGTTGCAATCCCGCGCTTTGTTTTTATACGCAACTGAGCTAAAAGATTTTCTTACAGATGCATGTTCAGTTCTTGTTTCAATTAGACTCTTCTGTTGCTGGACATTAGCAATGGACGTTTTAACGAGCCCTTCACTGATAGCTTCCTCTAATGGATTGCACCCGTCTAGCATGGATCGGCAGAAAAATGTTGTACTTCATTGACAACCTGCTCTTGCTCAAGGACAGCAAGTGTGTTGAAAACCGACAAGTCATGTCAAGCTTTTTCAACTTCTTGAACTTGCTCGAGTTCTTAGTTTCTACATTGCTTCTCTTGCTTTCCATTCTTGTTTTACGTAGATTCTTCTCTTGCAGGACACTCGAAGCTGGAGTTGAAACAAGTCCTTCATCGGCAGCATCCTTATGTGGTAACCCCACCTTTAAGAGTCTTCATTGAAAGTTCTGGCATTGCTCTGAAGAAAACAAAGGCTGTACTTTGATTTACTGTCGCTGGTCTTCTCACTCTCCAACTTTGTCGCTGCTTTCTGAGATATCTGCGTCTTCAATCGGCTTTATAATCATCTCCGTTAGCCACAATGATTTCATTGTTGAAGCATAGGCTTGCTTTGCTGCCACCTCTGGATTGGAGTGAACGTTTAACCGCAGATGTGATTTGTCATCTAAAACACACGAACCAATGGCTTCACATGTTCAAGGCCACTAGCCACCTGCTTAGGTTCAAGCAGGTCAAGCTGATTCGATAACCCTTGAGGCAAATCGAGCTCTTTCTTATTCTTAGATTCGCACGAAATCTTAGAGTCCATGCTGCTCTTCTTTTCCGTTTCATTTTCATCGTAATCATCATTACTTGTCCTTTCTCAAAGGTCTCGGTATCTAGGTCGGGTAAGATACTCCTATCAGATGTCTCCCCACCTGCAGGAGAAAATCAGAAATGTTTCGCTTGTAAGCCGCTTCCCGAATCAAATTCTCAAGTTGGTTGGTAAACTTAAAAGGGTTTATAGTTTTCCACCCCTCACCTATAGCGAGCTCCACCCGTCGGTAAGATGTTTTCACTTTCACTTTCTTCCTCTTAGCTGCTGGGAGTTGCTATTATAAACAGACGCAAGGATAAAATCACTCGTCAAATACAGGATTTATCATTAATAAAATGATATCGTAATTTCACTTTTGAGCGGCAGCATCATTGAAATTATTTAATTTAAATCTAGCATGTGAAAATTTGACCAAGTGAAATGATAACGGAATCGGATGAAACTAAACTTTGGCAAGGAAATGCAGAAGCTTCGTACAAACTTACTGATTCATCTGCATTAGTTAAAAATCTGCCATCGTTGTCCTTCTTTGGTAAAAAAGCAGTTTCAGCAATCTTTCCAGTTTCTAGATAGCGAAGAACAGTATTTTCGAGCAAAAAAATAGCCGCTGACTGGATCGGTGTAATACTGTAGCCGTCGTAATTATTACCGATCAACATCAAAAAATACTATGCATGTTTAAAGGAACTATATGTTTAACTCTCGCAGCAGTTAATTTATTATACTATCAAGGTAAAGCTTTAGGCAACATGAGCACAAGATATCACCACAATTATTTTTGGTATTTGTACAAAATCGAGGGCATGAGCCAAGTTGGACTTGTCCTAGTATGATTAAATAAAATAAAATATTCTAGGGGACCGTGCGGATTCGAATTCGAAAGATATATCATACCGGATATCTTCGGACTCCATATACATTCCTTCTACTCTTAACTTCTTTAATCCACCTTGATGGTAAATCATCATCGGTTGATTTGTCGATTACAACCTGAGATTTAGAAAAATCAAGACAGCATAATTATTCAGTAGCTATAAGAATAATACGATTTTATTCCGTAAAATATATCCTAAATACGTACAACTTTTTGAGAATTTTCTAGAGCGGGAATCTCTTTTCTTTTGCTCAGGGTTTTCTCTTACTCGGTACTTCAATGCCAAGAAATCGTAACACCTGCTCGGAATAGAATTTAAGTCCATTGACGGATCAACATATACCTGCAACAAGAAAGCAGTTCATAAAACTAAACTTGAATATTACAAAGAGAAGAAACGAGTTTAAATTTCCTCGTGTTAGTAATGCATAGTCATAAAAGAAAATCGTTATTAGCAATCTTGTTCGTTCATGTGTCGGTAAGAAAGATACAATTCAGATGCCTATGAGACATAGGACAGGACATTGATGCAGTAGGCAAAAGCAAATCCATGAAAATACAGTATTACAAATTCCTTGCGATACAAGAAGAGGGAAATGCACCGTGATTCCTATGCATAAAAGAAACACTAATTCCATATACCTCGACTCGTCTTCCAGAAGTTAAACCACTCTTTCGGGTTTTCACCTCCACGAGCCAATCCTTAGTAGTATCCAGATCGAATAAAGAAGGAAGCAGTGAAGGCTATGACTTATTTGAAATGTCGCCTTGATTATTTCTCTCTTGTTAAGATACCCGAATACATCGCTGACTTGGAATACAATCCAAATCCAGCTGATGGATTAACGTCTATATGCAACGAATGACGAAAAGTAAAGTTAACTAACCACACTTACAACCGCTTGATCGTTTGCAGATGACTATATTTTTCCTTGAAGTTGGCAGCTCTTTCCATTTTGGTATATCGGAGAAGATCACCCTTGGTAAATAACCTTTGACCGCTTGCCGGATTCAGATATTGCTACATAAAGAAACAAGACACATAATTTCCCCAGATAGACGTTAATCGACACCGATCGAAAACATCGAATTTATGTCACCATATCATCAATCATCAAAGCATGTACCAAGAAATCAATGTTTCGGTGCCACGAAACGTCTTCCGGTGTAAAAAACGACAAGAAGAACATTCCAATGTCTAAAAAGGATCTTTGAACAGAACGAAATCAACCTGTCGTCACGCGCCTTTACCACCTAGTACCAGCATTTCGAAGAACTCCCATTCACATGCAATATATATCCCCCAAAATGCAAAACCAACAGAATCAAACCTCAATCGGTCCCTTCGGCCTCGAAATCTCATAAATTCGAACAAAATAGAACCCTCGTTTATTCACCAAACCCCCAAATTCAACATGAAGCAATCCGCAGTTATCATTCGAGATTCGACTTCATTTCTTTCACATGCAACTGAAAAAACAGCCGATCATCGACTAATACAGATTACTGTAATCTCTGGTCTTATACTTCATCAGTCCATTTCTCTTTACTTCACTGAACATTCTTCAGAAAACAATAAATAAACAAAAACACACACAAAACTAGCCGAGTAATAACTAACAAACCGTGATTCGGCGACCGGTCTTTTGAAATCTGAACTCTCGGGTCCAGCCAGGGGGAAGCCAGTCCGGTGAAGTTTCTACCGTCATTGTCACCGGAGATTAGATTTCCGGTAGTCAAATACTTGTTTTTGATTTGTACGAGTAGTTAGTTGTAGTAGTAGAGAGAAATGGTCTTTGTTGAGGTTTCTGTATGAGCTTTGGTCTTTGCAGTTTGTCTGAAAAGTGAACTGTATCTTACGAGGTATAACTGAAAACCAGCACGTGGCTTTTTTTTTTTCTCTTAAGATTCCCAATATTAAGCGTGTTGTTTTTCTATTTTGATCTATGAATTAATTTTTAATAAAAACATGACTATCGAAAATTTAAACTTTAAGCACTAACAAAATGAGTTTGGTAAAGTAATTATTGTTATTCTTTAAGATTTTAGATTCAAACATTATAATTTTAGGGGTGATCATTTAATATTAAATGATTAAGAGTTATTTTAAAAAAATTAAATTAAAAATTAAACTTTAAAAAAATGGATGGACTAAAAATGATCAAATGAAAGTATAAAGGCTAAGTTAATAACTTAAATATAGTCCATGGACTAATATAAACATTTGACCACCATTCTTATCTACTTAAAATTTCCACACGAAATTAATACGTTTTCCAAATTTTAAATTTTTTTCCCTTAATTTACTATTTTACCCATAATATATATATACTTGAAAATCCTAATTCCTAACCTAATTTTTCTCCCTCTTCCCCCAAGCTCCATCTCCCACCCGCGCCTCCTTGCTGCTCTTCTTCCCAACTGTAGCTGTTTTTTTATCCTCCGCCGCTCCTTACTTCTCTCCCGACTCCGGAAACCGCCTCCGTCCAGAGAAGGTTGATTCAGAACTCGTTCAGCGGCAATTCGGCAAGGCAATAACTTCAGATTTGCGTTAGGTGTGTGTATATGTTGATTTACTTCGTTTTGTTTAGCTTAAGTATTTTCCTTTTGGCTTTATGTTTCTATTTTCTAAAGATGTTTTTGGGTTTTCAGCTGAGACAAGTTAAATTCTTGAAAAAATTCTAATTGAAAATGCAATACCCTAATATTTATGTGGTGTGTCTAAGACATGGAATCTCTTGTAACCATCATAGAAATTATTTATGAAATGCGTTAGAGAAGCGGGATCTCTGATTTGGTTCTTAGCCTTTTATTGCTGAAGTGTCTTGGTTGTTATTTCTCAGGAACGTATTGCCAAGAACCATTTAAGTAACGCTTTAAACTTCACAATCCTCTATTGTTTCTTTGTTACTTTCTCCAAGTCAACAGAATCATTTAGGATCCAATTCAGTAATATTATTACACATGGAAGTTAGAAACTTTGGCATGAGTTTGATGATGATGGCATCCATAAATGTTCACTTTCAATTATTACAATAAACTAAAACTACCCTTAAACCCCTAATAAAATAATTAAAAAGGCACTACGAGAAAAATCAAGAATCAGTCATACGAATTTATATCAACCTGGTTCCTTTCCTTTTATTTTCTCTAAAAATAGAAGATTTTAAACTACTAATTATTACCACAAATCTTGATTGGTGTTTCAAACACTAGATCGGCTGACTAAGAAGCTATATTTGGAGGCAATTCAAATTTGTCTTATCTGAGCTTCTGTCAGCTGAACTTGCCTTTTGGTCCTCCCATTCTTGACCCCTACCAGCCTTCTTTATCATCTTCAATCACACTCTCATCCATCCAAAAGAGAATACTAAATAACACCCACCTACCCTTTTCCCAAACTAACCATGAAAAACAACATATTCTCCTTAGTCAGAGAATGTTATTTTACTAAAAGAAAATTGTTTGTGATGATACAGTAGTAGCTGTTTAATAGGTGAAAATGTCTACCAATTCTAGAATGCTGTTCTCTTGATGCAATATTTTATGTAACTTATTTTCTCTCTTCAATAATTGGTTGTGGTGCCTTTTATCTTTCGCTCATACGGTTTTTATGGTTGGAATCTTATCCCTACTTTTTTTTCAATTTGTTGGTCATTGGTGTGTAATGTTTTGTTCTGAAATTGATCTTTGACATATATTCTAATAAGATATGATTTTGCAGATGGAACTGGCATTTTTATTACCTTAAAGTTGGCTTCATGGAGTAAGATTCCTTGTGCTGAACTTTGATGGCATGCTAGTGAGCTGCCCCAATTTCGTATGGAAGAATCATCTGAACTGCATGATCAGAGGGGCAGCAGTTTTCCCTTACCAAATTTGGGTTCCGATGTTGTTAGCACACCAAGAAAAGCCGGAAAAATGCTTAGTAGTAGTAGTAGTGGATTTTCTAAGAAAACACGTGTTGGTCAAATAGAAGACATTATGATTTCAACTGGAGTTGATGACGTAAAGGATAAGCCAGGGTGTAATTCTACAAAATGTAACTTATCAGGTTGTACCTTTTTTTCCCCTTGTTTGGAAATATCACATTAATTTGATGTAGATTTAATTCAGTCTAGATAATTGTCTGATCTTCAAGAAGGTTTTTGTCCCCGTAATGTTGGTTAATGGTCAAGTTGCCAGAGCTCATCTGATTCTTTTATGCTTTTGTTCTGTTGCATTTTAGTTTCCGAATATGTGGCTCCTTTTTTATAGTTGAAATTATTGGAGTCAAATGTTGGAGATTATGCTGATTGTTTGTTTTCTCTTTTTTGTAAAATACATTCCAGATAAAACACAAATGCTGAGACAAAAGAACAGCTTTAGTGGCAAGAGAGGTGACAGGAAAATTTTCAAAGTTCCTATGAAGCCGAAATCTGATTCTTTCTCCAAGAAGGGTGGTTTTGCAAGCTTTACTCTGGCCTCTGGTGGGAACAACTTCCTTGGTATGTCATTGTTACCAAAAAATGGTTTTTATTAACATGTACACTTTTTTAATGCTGGGTTTGGTACAAGCCTAACCAATTTGTTGGTGATTGGTTGTATGATATTATCTATGCATTTCGTTTAAATTAGCTACCGATTGCATGTTTCTGTCTTTTTTTTTTTGCACCATTCACCTTTGGGAACCAATTTCAGGATTGTATGGACTGAAGTCTGATGATATAAATGATGTCTCCAAGCTTGTAGAGGATTTATCATTAAATGAACTCCTTGATGGTAGATTCGAGCATCCCATTTTAGGCGGTGAGAAGGATAGGAAAGCAACTAACACAACTGAAAATTTTCTACATTCTGTTAGAAAGGTGTTCTCCATTCTTCCGCTACGAAGAGCACAATGCCACAATGTTGCGGATATAGACAGTTCTTCCCACATGAAAATGCCCTCATGTACACTGAGCTCTGTTTCTGTTCCGGCAAGTAGTGTTAATGGTGATAAAGAAGACACTTGTTCTGTAGACCCATCACCATGCAACAAGGTGAGTTTTTGAGCAGAAATCTATTATATTTGATCCTGAAATCAACCATAAATTAAGTAAAGATATCGATACCTGTGATACACAATAAAACACTCCTGCCCTATTGATAGGAGCCTTTAGTAATTTTCATCTTCCACCTTTATTTATCTCTTTAGTTTTTGCAACTTTTCCTGGTGTCAAGGTCATTTGACTATTAAGGCCATCTCCAACCCTCATCTCTACTCTACAGCATCTCTATCTCTACTCTAAAGATGAAATAATAATTCATCTCCAGCACTATCTCTACATTACCACCAACTCTACTTTATTCAAAATATTTAACTAATATAATATTGATTTTGCAAATATAAAATAAAACATATACATTTCTAATAAATGTCAAGATAAAAAACATAAATCAAACATTCATAAATAACATTGCGAAAATACAGAGAAAATTGGAGAATTAAGATCTCTTCCTTCTACAATTGGAAAATTAAGATCTTGTAATTTAATCTACTTGAATTTATTATATTATTTTTATTTTATTGTGTAGAAATTACAATAAAAAAATAAAAGATAGAATAAAGAGAAAATAATGTAACACAGAAAAGGAAAAGAAAATAAAAAAGTAAAAAAATAAAAACCAAAAATCAGAAAATAAAAAATGTAGCGCAACTACAGTGCAACGCCAATTGTAGCGTTTTACTATAGTTGGAGCACTTTCTCTACTCCAAAGTGGAGATTTTCTTTACTCCAGCGATGCGCTAGAGATGGCCTAACCATACCATGCTCAGAAATTCTTTTACATTCTGTTACGGGAAGGTTTTTTTTTTAAAATTTATGGATGCTGACAGGTCATTAACTTTGTACTTAATCTTGTTCCAATCACAGGATTCATCTGGCAAGTGTGAAATGCCTGCCAGTCCTTCGGATTTTTCATTGTATCAGCCCAAAGATATTTTACAGCGCTTGGCGTTACCTCCACCAAAAGATCTGGACTCTTTACTTCTCGATGCAACCAAGCCTTCAACATCCACAAGGAATAATTCTGATACTCGTTCAGGCAAGCAAATGCTCCGCCGAGCTAGCTTGCCACCATTTCCTTGGTCGCATACTCTTAATGGGTGCAGAACCAATCCTGATGCGGTTAAGCTCTTATCAAACAAGTGCATGTGCCAAGGGCGATGGGGAAAAGTACCAAACACTTCCAGTTCACCTGAGACTGCAACTGGTTGTTTTTCCAACTTGGAATCACTTGCCTATGATCCAAGCCTGATTCCTTCCTTTCCAAAATTTGGTAATTCAGAAGGTGAAATAGCATCGCCATCTGGTACTCTTCATTTATGTGAACAGCGTGCAGAACCTCTTGCAACTTATGCCAAGGCTTTTAATGTTCCACAAGGTAACAATTTATTGAAGGGTAGCTTCCTGTTCTGTCCCCGCCTAGAGATATGCTGATCTTTTCTGTAGAAGTTTTGGGACTAAAAAACTCTAGGTCGAAATGTAGGGCATGTGGCCTGAGATATATTTTTGCCATTCTATTGTTTTAACATAGACAAATTTATTGCCATTTCGGTTCTCTGTCTGTCATTTCTCATTTGTTGTTTCCTTTTTGGTGATAGTTGGACACTGTCCAAAAATATTGGCTGCAGCTCAAACATTATGTGACATTGCGACAAAACCCTTGAGGCAGAACCCAGATGGCATTATAAGGTGGCCAAAGAAGCCTTCACAAAAGGCCATGAAAGCTCGCAAGTCAAAATCAATTGAGAAATCGGATGGAGTATATGCGACGACTTCTTCATTGTTGGGATCTGACAAACTGTTGAGATGCGACACGGACCATATAATTCTCTCGAAAAGGCCTAAGCTCTCTGTAGTCGAGAATAAGAAGGATCTCAATCACAAAAATGGTGTTAAAAAAGCACAGATGGCTTGGTCTACACCTAAATCAAGTAGATCATCGCCTGGCAAAACAGTGAGTGATACAAGACATTCCACTGCCAATGTAGTAAAGATGCCATGTACGAATCTTCCGGCAACGGTTTTGGATAAGCCTTGCAACAGTCAACATAAGTTACGGAAGCTAATGCCCGTAGACTGGAAACGGGGGGAGAGATAGGCTCGACTAATCAAGTAATCTTTTCTTTTTTTTGATGTAGAAGTTTGCATTCCATAAATATTACTATTTATCAACCCCTCCGTGAGGCTAAATCGGTGTTCCTGGTTGTATGTAAATATATCACGTTGTAGGCTGTGTTGTTGCTGAAAAAGGGGAAAATGTTACAATGGTAGTATCAAGGGATAGTTGTAGAATACCGCAGGTGAATTCTTTGCCTTGTATATTGTATAGAGCAATTGATGAGGCAATAGAAGTTTCAGTTTCTCGCACTTTGGCTTTTGACCTTTGTTTTTCTTCAAGGGTAAACTACAAAAAAATGGTCCCTGAACTTTTAGGATACTTATATTTTGGTCATTGAGCTTTTAAAATGTGCATTACATGTATTGAACTTTTAATTCGTTTTATCACCACCGTCACTGCTGTGAACTGGTTTTGTAAAAGTTTAGAAGTTATGTGACCAAAATATAAGCGTTCTAGAAGTTTGGGATATTTTTGTAGTTTACCCTTTCTTAAATTGAGGTTGTATTATTTTATTTTAGGGTTAATTACTTTAAATATCACTCACCTTTAATCTCAGGTTCGAAAATACCACTGATGTTTCAATCTTGTAAATTTTATCACTGACCGTATGTTTCACTGCAATTATGTCACCCCGCTGTTAATGTCTTAACGGCACAATGACATAACATCTCCATGCCGTGACATTGCTATTGTGATTTTCTCACTAAAACGACGTCGTTTTAACGCTAAAAATACCCAAAATTATATTGTTTTGTTAGAATCATTTAATAAAATTTTACTTTTTATGGGATTTGAACTTGTAACCTTCGAACTAAACACCCAACCACCACACTAATTTAATAATCTGATATGTTTTTAACAAAAATAATATATTTGTTAAATTGCAGTTGTATACTTCAACGTCCGTCGATGTTCTTTGCCGCTGATGAGTTGCTCTGGGTGGAAGAGCTGACGATAAGGATCAGTCCTCACTTCATCAATAACAGTGGGTTCAAGATCTACAAAAACAGCACGAGATACGCGCTTCCCAACTCCGATTTCACTGAAAAATGTGTTGAAAGCATCACCACCGACAGTCTCGTCACCAGGCATCTGGTCACAGGCTGTTCAAAACAGAGATGCAACCGCTCATTATTCAATGACCAAAACTTAGATCTCAGAGGTAAATGTACCTAAAATTATGTTATATTTCATCCGTTATTTGCTTCCGACTAACCATTCCTACTGCTACTAAACTGCTTACTTTGGTTTCACTTCTAATTAGTTAAATAATATTTTTTCCTAAAAAGTAATATAGTGATAGTAGGAAAAGGTCTGATTCTATCGCATAAATATAATTCCTCTTACAACAAGGGATTCCTTTTCATTGTTGGATTAGAATAAAATTTTGGTATATGTATGTACATGGGTACTGTATATTCACGTCTGAAAATAAAAAGAAAATTCACCGGTATGGCAAGTTTGAAGACAATCCCGGCGTTAGTTGTTTTGATTCAATGCATTACCTTGAGTGAATCTTCTCGTATTTTGGAGAAGAAGAATAACAAAATGGATGACAATATATTTAATGTCATTAGCGGCAAAGAAGATCGACGGACGTTGAAGAAAGAGAGGGGAGAAGAAGTATACAACTGCAATTTAAGATATATATTAGTTTTGTTAAGAATATATTAGATTATTAAGTTAGTTTGGTGGTTAGATTTTTACTATTAATATTTGAAGGTATATAGGTTCGAATCCTATGGAAAGTAAATTTTATATCAAATGATTCTAACAAAACGACGTTGTTTTGAGTTTTTTTAACATCAAAAAAGTTGTTTCAAAACAACATCATTTTGGTGAGGGTTCCACTTCAGCAATGTCACGGCGCGAAGATATCATGTCATCGTGACGTTAAGTCATTAACAGTGGGGTGTTATAATTGCAGTGAAACATAAATGTCAGTGATAGAATTGGCAAAATTGAAATGTCATTGACATTTTCAAACTCGAACTTAAAGATGAATGGTATTTGAAGTAGTTAAACTATATTTTATCAATTCCTATCTCAAGACATTGTTATTCCTAATGGATATTGAACCCACTATCTCTACTATTAAAATATTATATATTTATATTAAACAAAACAGAAGTCTACTAATAGTAGAAGTGGCCAAATAGTTGATTAATCAGATTTTTTTTGATTTATTCGATTTTGACGGTTAATTAAATTTAGTTTTCGATTTTGAAAATTTAAATCGAACATGTTTTTAAATAAAAAAATCGTGTTTACATGTTTAATTAAATGAATTTAATTATGAAATTAAATATTCAAATATAGAATAGTTCAATTATTTAACTAATTGTAACATGTTCAATTTAATGGTGATAATTTTTATTTTACAAAGAAAAAAATCAAATAAGTTTATTTAGTTATTTCGATTTCAATAATAAAATTAATCCAATTTATTCGATTATTGATGATATAAAAATCAGCCCGTCAAATTCGAGTAGGTTATAATAGTCGGTCAATAAAAACCTCTACACCAAATGAAACGCCTCCTATTATTGCATCTTTCCTCTTGATCTCAGCCACTACCCTCTTTGTCTGATCAACCACTTTACACGATCGATGCGAGTACGACCCTTCGATCATATACGCGTACCCTTTTTCCGACGACCGGCACCGGTATACGTATGCGAGCACATTAGGGTTTCCATGCAAGATGTTGATGCACCTCTTTACATAGAAAATCGGCTCCTTTGTTGATGTACAATGATCACCTACTTCCCTCCGTAGACAAGCCATGAATCCAACAGTCTAAGGTTCTGTGTCCATGACACAACGCCGAATTAATCTCCGAATGTGTTTCGATAAAAACGAAGAGTCGGAATAACATAATAATTAAGTACGTACCCTGCTACGTTGCATTGCCAAGATCGATTTTCCCAAACCGTCCATAAGAACGAGTTCCTTGGGTCGACCGGTGTAGTTATCGACTCGATAAACAACATCTCCATAGGAATCAATGACACTGAACCCATTGCAGCTTATCACAAGTGATTTCCTCCACACGGTTAGTGATGTGTATGGATCGCGTCGGGTTTTCGACGATTCGGCCAAGGCCGGCCGTCCTCGACGATGTTCTTCTTCTTGGACCGATCTCGACAAGGATTTCAAGGAAAGAAACATTCTTAACATGTCTCCTTCTTTTTCTTTAAGTCAGTTGAGTTCATGGGAACGTATACTTATAGGGTTCAGTGAAGACTATAACCCCTACATTGTTGAAGTTAGTTAAGCTATGACGTTTTTTATGTGTTTTTTTTTTCCTGCAAATTGTGCAACAGACAAGCTTTTTACCCAACTCACAGTGACTCGTTTTCTAGAGGGAATTTGTCGGAAAAAATTATTAAGAAAATGATGGGGGTTTTTTTTGCTTATTTTAATACCCTGTTGTATAATCTTCAGTGTTGTTCGTCTTGGAATCTGTAACATTCACGGATTTGTAGGGTTTAGTTGGATTCCATTGGCTAAAACGCTGTGTCGACGTCAAATAAATGAAAACAAAATAGTAAACGGTGAGACCGGTGAGTTGTGTCCTTCTTGGCACATTGTTTTTCCAGTAAATCAGTCCTCCTTTGATCACCATGGTCAAAGTGCATTTGGTCATTTAGACAGAAAATATTATTATTTTTTTTTAGAAATTTTAAGTTTAAACAGTTATATTTACATAGTATATATTATCAGTTTGAAACAATGACCATTGTTTCGATCCATGATACATTATTTTTCTAAATTAAGATGATTATAAAGTAATATCTATTTTAGATAGTTTCAATCATTTGACAATGAACGTTCAATCATCTCACTATAATCGTTAGTTCTCGAGTTTATAACCACTAAAAATAATAAATATCAATTTAATTACTGAAATAATTTGATTCATCCAGTTCGTAATACGTTGATATTGAACATGATAAGTTGGCCATGGGCGGTGGCCGACCATTACTTATCTTATCAAACTTTCTGGTTCCGAATTCTGAAGCCATATTATTTCTGTCAGAAAGAAACAAAAAAATAACCTTTCAATTAAGATTCAGTAGACTCAACAAATCTTTGTTTTGTTCAAATAAAACAGGGAATCTTTTATTCGGGTTTAGATTTGTCTTTCTGGTTCCACCATTTGTTTAAAACACCCTATTACAGTCGTATCACCTCTGCCACAGATCTAGAAAGGTTGGGTAACAATTTCATGCGTACACTCACTAATAAAATATTCTTATTTTTTTATTTTAATTCTTCATCAAAAAAATTATAGGGTAAAGTATACAAATGGTATCCGGTTATAGGGTGATACTTTATTGAGTCTTTTGACTATTAAAAGTTATAAAATGGTCATTCGACTATAGAATATTATTTTGTTGAGTCTCTCTACTATTAAAAGTTACAAAATGGATTGTGATATGATAAAACTCAATACAAAAATCTCAAACGACTATCATATCCCAGTGATCATGTTAACATCCAACTCAGACGATAGACAATTTTTAACGAAAAATGACGAGTTTGAAACATAATGAATAGTCGATTTACTATTTTGTAACTTTTAATATAGTCGATGAACTTAATAAAATAATATACTATAATCATGATCCATTTGTGTACTTTATCTTAAATTATATTATAAAATCTTTAAATCTAGTTAATTTGGATCACAATTCTAAATAACTTTCACAATCTTCAATAGATTTATTTATCTAAATGAAAGGGTTACTATCTAACTTTGAGTTGAGTTCGAATATTGTTAAGCTTGATTCGATTTGAAAATTCTAAAATATAGCTCAACTCAATTCAAAAACTCGCTAGCATAAAATTTTTAAACTCGACTTGAACTCGAAACCTTGAATTGGAGCTTGTAAAAGCTCGAAATGAAAAAAAATCTTATTGTATTATATTTTTGAGTTGTTCGTAATATTTTCGAGTCAAGTATCAAGTAACTCATGTCGACTCATTAAGAACTAGAGTAGAGATCGAGTCGAGTTTTTATCGAGTTTTGACCAAATCGATCTCGAATAACTCGTAATTTGTCTCGTACCATTTACTACCCTAATCTATCTCCGTCAAAATCAAACGGCCCGTTAATCCTCTTACCAATGAGACGAACGTACGTCCCATACATTTAGCTTTTTCAGATTTCGGCTTTTCATTACAAAAACACTCAGATTCAACGGTACAGATCAAAACATTGATATTAAACGGCCCTGATTAAATCTATTTTGCCACACCAAAGCAGCAGAGCGTAGTGAGCACTTAGCAGTAAAAGCTAAGAAGATTCCATTTTTGCTTTTTTCTCGAGCTTCACGTTCCTTGTGCTTTTCAATTTCAAATTTCTTCGAAACGAGTAGTTAGGGGTTTAGTGTTCAAAGGAAAATGGCGGAGCACGAGGAAACGTTGATGGAGAAGATAGCTGAGAAGATCCATGGCCATGAATCATCATCGCGGATTCCGACGACGATGAGCCATCGGAATCGTCGGTGAAGGCCAAAGTTTCCCGCCTCTTCGGAAGAGAAAGGCCCGAACACCACGTTTTCGGTGGGGGCAAACGTATGTTACTAAAACCTCTTCTTTTTCATTTCTTGAGTTTGTTCCATTTGAGTTCCTTTTTAGAAATATCGACTGTTTAGATACTTTATTTCCGTTTTAAATCGTAGTTAGATCTGTTTCAGTGGTTTAGCTCAAGCTTCGGATTTTTGCTATGATTGATGTTGTTTGAGCTTAATTATGGCTTTTGATCTGTTATTATCTGTTTTAGCATGAATAATGAAGCCAGGCATTTTCTAGTTCATTAAGAGAATTGATGGGGTTACATCTAGTAAAGTTTACTTCTTTTGCTTCATGAGAGCAAAAAAAATTCCGGGATTATCTTAAATTTTACGCTAATCGTATTATTATTGATACTTTTAAGTGATTCTCATCCGTAATTATTGTCACTTGCCTCAATTTCCTATCGTGTAATGCATACTCATGTAGTGAAATTGTATGTGTAACAGTCGCCGACATTTCCTGTGGAGGAACAAAAAGGTTTCGGCCGGAGCCCTTGGTGTTGCAACTGGGATTTGGGCGTTGTTCGAATTGCTAGAATACAACCTTCTCACTTTAGTGTGTCACTTGTCGATACTTGCTCTTGCATTACTTTTCTTGTGGATGAATGCTGCTACCTTCATCTACAAGTAAGCTGTTGGTTCTGTTGTCTGCTTTTGTGGTTATATTTGGATTCAGGTTTCTTTTTGTTCATGCTAATGTAAATTGTTTTGAGTACGTCTCCACCGCTTATTCCCGAGGTTCACATACCTAAGGACCCTGTTTTAGAGTTTGCAGAAGCACTTAGGTTTGAGATCAACCGGACTTTTGTTGTTCTGCGGGATACAGCATCGGGGAGAGATCTTAAAAAGTTCCTCTCCGTATGTTGTTTACTTGTTTACTAGATTTCTGACAGAGCATGATTCAATTCTTCATCGAACTCGTAATTAATATAGTGATGCAATGGCTGCATACATGTTTGCTGTCCTCAGTTCCTGAAGATTTTATTGGTATTGTTCTGTTTCCGACAATCGTATTGGAATGTCGTCGTGATTTTTCAGGGGATTGCTGGCTTGTGGGTCTTGTCTATTGTGGGAAATTGGTGCAACTTCTTGACACTTTTCTACATAGGTATCGGAGTTGCCTTCAAGCGCTTTGCCCCTTTGTGCTCCCCTCCTTTACCTTATAAGCATTGTGATTCTCTGATTTACTTTAATGGTTTTGCAAAACAGTCTTCGTGCTACTTCATACTGTAGCTGTGCTTTATGAGAAATACGAGGACAAGGTCGATCCATTTGCCGAGAAAGCAATGCATGAAATTAAGCAGTATGCAGTCTTTGATGCAAAAGTTCCAAGTAAGATTCCGAAGGGGGCATTGAAAGAAAAGAAGAAGGATTAAATTATCCGGCCAATAAGTTGCCGTTGGTAGGTTCCGACATACTTATGGTAGATGTGTTCACAATGCTGATGAATATGGGATCCTCTTTTAAATATGGGTTTTGCCACATGGTAACCTTTTGTGACAATATGTTATCATATTTCATGTTGATTGGTGCATTGGGTTCAATCTGCCTGGATTCACTTTGCTTTGAGTTCCCTGAAAATGGTAGTTTATAACACAATGCTTGAAAGAAATGAAGTGGGTAATATATCTCTAAAATAACCCACCAGGATTTTAGAAAAAACTTAGAACATGAGAGGAAAAGTTCACTGTATCGATTTCATCGGTTCTGATTCTCCGGTAGCAATTTCTGTACTTAGGAGATTATTGGTTCCAGCGATCACTATCTGCATGCTAAGCTACTCAAGTTCTTAATTAGAGCAAAAGATTGCAGATGTGAAACGTAAAGAGTAGATAATTATGTAGTTAAGTGCTATTGGTGAAAACTAGTACCTCCCGCTCAAAACGCTTGATGATGCTTCATCGAGGACGGGGATATTTTTTTTCTCCGTCCTATCCATGTTGATGCCAGCTGATTCAACCGAAACCATTTGCTCTCATCCGAAGCCATCCCCGGGTCAGATTTTTTTAAAGCCCAAAGTTGCATTTTTCCTGAATTTTCGTTTCGGAAACCAAATAGGAAATTCCTATCAACCTCTTGCGAGATTCCTTCTGTTCAGACTCGGTACACGTACGTATACCCCTTTCAGGGTTTATATTAGATGGTGACTTTTTGAGGGTGATGTTTCCATAGAAATAAGTCGCCGGAAAAGGGAGGAAACAGCCGAGGAAGTGTGGATTGAAAGAAGCGGTGTTTCCAACATTATTTTTCTATTTATAAGACTCAAAGCCAATACCTCGTTAGCACCTACATATTCAGTGATCAAGAAAATAGGCATTGACCCTGCATGAGTAAACCTGCAATTCCAAGATGGAAGATTGCATTTGGCCAAAGTGAAATATATGATCTTCATTCTCTCTGTTGCTTCTTTTACAGTTTCCTTGTAAAATCAAAGACGAACAGAATCGATGAAGGCAATTTCTCTTAAGCTATGCTGGATTCAACTTAATGGCCTATCAACATGCTACATTATGGCTGTCCCTTGTTCCCATATGTAATGGGATAAGGGGAACATGCTACATTATGCATGTTATAATTTAGTTGATGGGACTTGTACAAGTTTTCTAGGCATTCAATTGGTATTGAAGATACGGTGAAATAGATCGTCAAGAAGTATACCCTAGAGAATTGACCTGAAACGTGTTTTCCTGTCCCGTACGGTCGATCCAAAATAAAGCTGATATGAGAAAACAGAGGCGGTGTCATCTCATTAAATCCAAGAACACAAAGCCATTCCAGAGGCTGTGTAGGAGAATAGATGACAATAGATTTCTCGACCGAGCAAAGATGACACCCATCACCATTCCGAGGAAAATAAGTGGCAACATTCTCTGTACATTAAAATGTGCCAGAGCAAAGGCAACTGAACTCACGAGTATGGCGCACCAAACGGGCATGTACTTCGTCAATGAAGGGAGAAGGAAACCACGGAAAACAATTTCCTCCCATACAGGAGCACAAACAGAAACTACTACTGCATATAATGCCATGGCTACTGGATCCCTTGCTAAAATTGACTGCTCGACACTTGAAAGGGTTGCGGGTGTAGAAGGCATAAGGGGCAATAAGCTGAGGTTGAACTGTGATAATCGGTTGACGACTGGAAACATGAGGCATCCCAACATAACATCGAAAAGCCACTTCCCTCTCAAGCTAAATTTAAACCAGTCTGATGGTAGGGGATGAAACCGAGACAGACAGCGGTGGAGTATCGCAATCCCGGCAAGGCCTTCAGTTACATCGGTCACAAGGCTGAATAATGCTTGTCCTCTGAATGTTAAGGATTCCTTGCTGAACCCTGACATGTGAGCAGCAAAAGGAATCATCCAAGACCCGATGAACCAGAATGCAGCTACCCAGAGAAGCATAACCTATGCGAACAAAGAAAATATTATTATGCAACTGATTGACCCGTCTGTAATTCATCCAGAGTTTGAATGAGACAGTAATACAAGATGCCATTACTCAGTTCAATCCATCTTTATAGTCTCTAGTGGAAATGATCAGGATTGGTTCATGCATGTAATACATCCAAAGTAAAACAATCTGATCATTTCAAGTAAAGCAAGCTAACAAACCAACCTGCAGAATGGTCTCTGCTGTCCATGGTACGGTCCACCTGCTACCAACCGCCCCCAATACTGCATCAGCAGCCTGCAAAGAGATTAGCAAACATGTTGACATGTTTGAAAATTATAATTTTATCTACATTAATAATCCATTTGAGTTTCTAAAAAGACAATGAAAAAAATAATTAAACGTCTCGGTCCCAATTTAATCACTTGAAATAAAAGAAATGAGAGAAGTAGGATCACCGGCATTATACGTGTGAAGATTGAATGTCCACAAACGAGCAACATTCAAATTGCCTCCGATGGACATAAATACAATACAAGACTAAACTTTAGTTAACAAATTAATTGTTGAAACCAATGAAGAGACTGATTGTAATAGACTCAATGAACGACCGATAACAGAAAACAGGCATACAGATTAAACTGAAAGTACAATCTATTGCACATGTAAATAAATAAACATTAGAGGTTCATTAACCTGAACTAATTAAAGGAAAATATTACCTCCTGGAGAGTTGATTTCCAATCTCTTCTGCCGGCACTAGGCTTCTTGAATTCAGGTTGTACTAATTCTTCGGACAGAAAATGTTCTATATTTTCAGATTTTGGGTTTTCCGGGGAGAACCCCTCATGCCTAAAGCATGAAATTTTCCAGTTCTGCAAATTGAAAAAAAAAACCAAACCAAAAAACACCTGTGAATTAATAGTATAGATGGCATAGTTTCAATAACATAACCACAATAGACGAGATGCTTAGTTGAACTCTAAAACTCAACCAATTAATATAGCAACTAAATTTCCATATCAACGCCTAAGCAGACTAATCAAGTTTCCAGATACATAATTCCTTTTCCCCCATTTTCTCACCAACCAAGCAGAACCTAAATAACTGTAATGCAGCTTCAGGGTCAAAAAACAACTTTTAAACAAAGCTTGCGTTTAGATTCCAATTTTGTAACTTCTTCCCCCATTTTCTTGTTAGCCAGACATAACCCATTTCAAAATTCCAACTTCGGATTCTCAAAAACAAAAATTTAGCATGGGAAAGAAATTAGCGAAACAGAAAACATAATGCAAAACACAAAAATGCTTATGCATTAATCTAACCTCATTTGAGAGCTTGGGAATAGGTTGAAAGATCCGAGAGCTTTGGTCTAGAGAAAAGGTATAGGGCCGGTTCGGAACCCGAAATTTGAATAGAGGAGCAAGAATTGGGCGCTGAGAGAGGGAGTGGGAACAGTAGGAACTCAACATGCGGCCCTAATTTCAATAACCGTAATGATTTGCATTAAAAACGCACACTTTTACGTGTAATTTGGGAATTGTAAATCAAAATCCCTAATTTGAGATTTTTCGTTTCGATTCAAGTTTGGTAGAGTGGTTTTTTCTGGTACAGAGGATTTCGGGGAGTGTTTGGAAACGGTGAATTTATTATTCTAAGTAATGATAATTTCGGGAAATTTCCACACATTTTCTTTCTGAAAAATAATAAATTTTCTTTGTGGACCTTTCCACGTCGAATTTCAATGCGTTCCGTCCAAAAGTCAATTGGGTAAAATGTACGAGAGGTCCAAAAGTGATGCTTAAATAATTATTTTAACCATTGAGCTTTTCTAAATTATAAGATAATAATTAAATTTATCAAATTATTACAAAACGATTACCATGATACTTTTATAATCATAAAGTTCAAGATAGTTATAGTTCAAGAAATTTAATGATCATTTTATAATAATTCAATAAATTTAATGACTACCTTGTAACACAATGATGATTTTATAAAATTTAGAAATTTAATAACTAAAAAGATCATTCGAATATAACTAAAAAGATAAATTTTGAATAGAGAAACGAATATCTAACCATTTCTACCTCTCTTCATCTACGATATTCCCTCTTAATTTACAATACATCATAGTTAAGCTAAAGTGCATATTAGCCAAATACTCTGCCGCAGTTTGATGCAATCTTGGTCCATTTCTATGGCAGGGGCAGGAATAGACTACCTAACAAGGTTTCCCAGCACAGAGTTCACAATTCCGGCATGTAAACCGAGTGACAGCATGTGTAAATTAACAAACAAGTCGGGACATGAATTTGAAGCACCGAACAGAAGATATGCAAGTTGCGTTCAGATTACTTACGTCGCCAGTTTCCAACCAGCTCCGGGTTGCCTTTTCTCATCATGGCAATGAATTCATCGTAGTTAATTCTTCCATCCTGCAAGGAGCAACAGGTACATCAAACATGAAGATCCCATTACAATGGTCAAAGAAACTAAATAACAGTTGGAATGTACTTCCAGTGCATCAATTGCAATAATTTCGTTTAAATACCATACATACATACATACATACACATCTGAAAAGAGATAGAATAAGCAGACCTTATCTGTGTCAACTTCAGCAATGATCTCTCTTAATGTTTTTTCATCTTTCATATTATATTTCCGAAGGGCCTGTTCAAGCTCCTCCATTGTTATGTACCTAAACCAAGTTGAACAAATATGCTCAGAAATCACAACGAGGCTATATGATTCGGTTTGTACGGAAACTATTATTTACAATATAAGAAAATGATAAGACTGATTTACCCGCTATTGTCCTTGTCAAAGTGTTGGAAGGCAGTATATAAGCGTTCTTCCCTTTCTATTCGATTCATGTGCATTGTAGCTGTTATGAACTCGACATAATCAATTGTTCCATTTCCGTCAACATCAGCCTGGAAACATACCGCTTCCATTTAAAAGCACAGTGATAATATAAAAGACAACGGAAACATACTGCTTCGATTAGCTGCCACACTTCAGACTCGGAAAGCTTAGCACCAAGTTTATGAAGGCCAGCTTTTAACTCCCCAAGGGTGATTGTTCCACTGGTATCAGTGTCCATGGATTTGAACATCTCCTTCAAACCTATGATTTCTTCTTCAGATAGATTTTCTGCAATTACCTGGAAGAAGAGAAAGAAAGTAAGAAAAAATGCATGAAGATTGTGTTGCTGCATTGCTACCATTAACTAATAGCCAGAAAGTAATAGGTCATCTTTGGCTTGTTCTCTTGAAAATGGATCCTTACAATCTTTTGCATTCCCAGCTTCCAAACATTTCGGTTAGAACACCGAATCTAGGTTACTCGAACTTGGAGATGAGCGCCAGGGACAGGTTAGTGAACCAGGGCGAGATAGCATCTCATAATGTTATAATTTAATGGCTCATCCCCAAGTATAGTGTCTTCTTTTCGAATTAATGGATTTTTGTAGATTACATGTTATACATGACGGGGAAAGCAATTCACCTTCAGAGCAACTTTCTTAAATTTGTTCATTGCCTTGAATTGCTTCATTCTAGTTAAAATGGCAACATCAAGAGGCTTATCAGATGCATCGCCATCTTCACGCATCCATGGATGATCTGCAGTAGTGAAGCTTTATTTCTTTTTTTCACAGAATTGCCAATAAACTTGAAGTGAGACAAACAAGAATTCTGAATATGAACTTTACAGCCAACTTACTTAAGACTTCAAATGCTGAAAGCCGTTCCTTAGGATCTTCTCGCAGCATCTTCCTCACAAGATCTTTGGCACAGTCGGAAATAGAAGGCCATGGATCCGATAAGAAATCGATATGTCCCCGAAGAATAGAATCAAAGATAATCTGTTCAGATTCTGCATACGAAACCAAAAGCAGAAACACGAGACCCTCTCACTTATCCACGACATAGCAATTGTAATTACAAATTAGCTCTTATTTCATACATATGCTCAAACTCCTATGAAAAGGTATGGTTGTGACAGTATTGCATTATTATACGAGAACTGCTCGTCTTCATAAGAAACAATAGTACTACCTCCATCGAATGGCAGCATCCCACTGAGGAGAATGTAAAGAATCACCCTGGCACTCCAAATATCGACTTCAGGTCCATATCGTCGGTGCAATACTTCTGGAGCAACATAATAAGGACTTCCGACAAGACTCCTGAAAACATCTCCTACATTAGTAGAGAAAGTTCGACATATGTTCACGCTCGAGATCGAATAACATAGACAAGTTCAAGCTATGTAAACCATGAATTCTCACCTGGCTTAAAAAATACAGAGAGCCCGAAATTCGGTAGCCTTCAATGGAGAATCCTCGTCCTTATTCAAGAACTAGAAATTCTCAGGCTTCAAGTCCCTATGGATCACCCCCATGGAATGACAATTATGCACCACCATCAAGATTTGTCTACACAAATTAGCGGCCTCCCTTTCTGAATAATGACCTTTCTCGATAATCCGATCAAACAATTCTCCTCCAGCACACAGTTCCATGATCAGATGCACCGAGCGCCGATCCTCATAAGCTCCCTTCAGCTCAACAATATTCCTATCAACCCCATTTACTTAGAACCTTTAAAATTATCAAAAACTAAACAGAATTTAGAGAAAAGGTTTGTTTTGGAGGGGAAACCTGTGACCGGTGAGATGATGCATGATCTGGATTTCATGGCGGATGTCTTCGATATCATCGCGGCTGATAATATTACATGTGGAGATTGATTTGCAAGCGAACTGCTGCTGGGTTTCATTGTGAGTCACCAAGTAGGTAACACCGAACTGCCCGCGACCGAGCTCGCGGCCGAAGACGTAAATAGACCGGATGTATTCCATCGGACGGCCGATGGGTGGAATGTTGGGGGTGGCGAGGCGGTTTCTGGAGGCGGAGGAGCAAGGATGGTGGCGGTGGTGGTGTGTTGAATATTTGTGGTGTCTTGACGATGAAGGGCCGGCAGGTTTAGCGTTGGCGCCGTTACGGTGGCTACCGCCGGAATTAGAGTCTGGTCGGAACCGATCATCGGCGATGGGGAGACTGTCGCGATGACCCATTATTGAAAAAGAACTGAGTTGGGGCAAGCGAAGGAGGTGAGGCAGAAGGGAATATACTTGTCTCTCTTTCTCGTAGGAAAATTAGAATATAATAATTTTTTTAAGGGTAAATTACACTGTTTCTTCAAAACTTTATTCTCTCTTTTATTTTTCTAACCCAACTTTTATTTTTTCTATTTTACTCATTAAATTTTATAAATTAAATTATTTTACTCACTCGACCGTTAAATTTATAATAACTAAATGACATGAATTTTTTTATTAATCTATAACAATGATATATTTTATTAATATTTAATTTTTACGTGTAATGTTTGATAAAATAAAAATTATTAATTTTATTCCTAAATCTTAATCTCAAATTACTATCTCACCCCACCCTCATCCTCCAACTCCCATCGTCGTTGTCTGCCATTGTCTATCCCAAATTACAAGAACCAGGAACCGTTTCTGCGTCGAACCCAAACCAAGCCACCCACCAATGCACTCCATGTTGGGTTCGTCGGGGCTCACCATCAGAAACCCCTCCAACAAAATCTTACAAAGAAAATAAATGGTTAAATAAATCTAATCTTTCAAACCAAACCCTTAGTCTCTGTTTTTGAAGCAAACCCAACACCCTGAAATCGCCAAAATAATTGATTGCTTGAACAAATGCGTATGTACCCTAAACCATGATTTCTTTGAAATGCAAAAAAAAAAGAAAGAAATAAGAACATAAACCAATTGCTGCATTTTTTTTTGGAATAATTGCTTGGTTTTGATCTCATGGACATGCATGACTTTAACAACAGCCAACAGTAAAGACCAAAGAACAAAAATTGAAAGATTTAATGTTAGATCCATAAATTTTAAGGGGTTTTATGTTAAATTGACAGTAGATTTGAGTTCAAAGGAAAAAAGCAAGTTTGGTGGAAAAATTTGGGGCTTATTGGCCATTGTCAACAGCGACCGATGTCGTGTTCTATCGCAACAAATGGTGATCAAAATTCTACCACGTTGAGAGAAAATGAAAGAGATAAAGAAGAGAAGAAAACAAGGAAAAAAAAGGAGATGAAGGAAATTTGGGTTGTTATATGGATGTAAAACGTTGACGTTTTGGTGTAAATTTAGTTTTTTTAAAACGATGTCGTTTTGATGTTGTGTGCCATGTCGTAATGCAATTAATTATTTAACGGCATGATGACCAAGACATGAGCAATGTCAAAGATTAATGAGCAAAATAGAAAAATTAAAAGTTGGATGAGAAAAATAAGAGAGAGTAGAATTTAAGGAGGAATGGTGTAATTTAACCATTTTATAATTGATGAAAGAGGGGGATGGTTTAAGGAAAACTTTGATTTCGACGGACAGATTTAACCCATTCTATTAATCCAGCTTAAATGGTTGGATAAGTATATGAATTTGCACAAGTATAGACTGAACAACGACACACATATAAAAAAATGGGTAAAGTACAAAAATTGTTCATTGATTATAGGGTATTGTTTTATGAAATTCTTCAATTATTAAAAGTTATAAAATAATTCTCTGACT